GGATGTATGGTACACGTGTGACAGGAGTAAAATAGGCAAATAAATGGACTCTTATTCAACAACACAAAGGCTACAGGACTCATTTATACGTCATGGGACAACAGCGGCTCGTCAATTAAGGTTTCCGGACAAAATGCCTCAGTGGCTTAAAGTGTTGGCTTGACCTCTACAGATAGATATAAAATGTATTAATCCCCAGGGGGAAATTTGTGGAGTCGCGAGCAGGTTGACCAGTGAGCGGTGAACGATCATCAGCTTTTCTTTATTACTTGTATTCACCACAAATGGACATGTTGCTTTCTGTTTTTGTAGTCATTCTGTTTGGATATGCACCATATTAGTTAGTTGTTACATATTTTTAAAGGCACAATCCACAATAGATGGCAGGAATCTGTACGCGTAATGACCCTCTTGGCCCTATCTGCCCTGCAAACACATCTTGCAGTAACACACCACGGGAGGCAATCTGTATTAGCAAAACCCAGAAAATAGCGCATTCAGTAGTAAACTGTATGGTGAAAGACGATTATAATGGCAAAATGAAAAAAGAACCACATCCTCGAAGCATCTGGATATGTTGTGAGGGAGTATCTTGTAGGTTGGAAATGTCACTGACAGTCTCCAAAATCTGGAGAATAAAGCTTGGTTATTCATCAGTGAACTTTCGCCCAAGAAGCGTGTGCTCTCAGACACCCACAATCAGTTTCCCCTGTCTCGGCCATTAAATGTACATTTGTTTAGAGAAGGCGGCCTAAAGTCTCTCACAATTGTAATACCGATGGAGGCAAATCTAATTAATGAAAATAATAACAGCAAGGAGGGAAAGGAAGCACAAATCCTTTCCAGAAATATGAGCAGTGATACAGTGCATCCGGAAAGTATTCACAGCGCTTCACTTTTTCTCCATTTTGTTATGTTACAGCCTTATTCCAAAATGGATTAAATTCATTATTTTCCTCAACATTCTACATGCAACAACCTATAATGACAAAGTGAAAACTGTTTTTTGCAAATTTTTGCAAATCTGTTAAAAAATCTGTTCTTTTTTGCAGAACCTCTCAAGTTCCATCAGGTTGGATGGGGAGCGTCGGTGCACAGCCATTTTCAGATCTCTCCAGAGATGTACAATCGGGTTCAAGTCAGGGCTCTGGCTGGGCCACTCAAGGACATTCACAGAGTTGTGCCGAAGCCACTCCTTTGTTATCTTGGCTGTGGGCTTCCGGTCGTTGTCCTGTTGGAAGATGAACCGTCGCCCCAGTCTGAGGTCCAGAGCGCTTTGGGGCATGTTTTCATCGGAGAGGTCTCTGTACATTGCTGCATTCATCTTTCCCTCAATCCTGACTAGTCTCTCAGTTCCTCCCGCTGAAAAACATCCCCACAGCATGATGCTGCCACCACCATGCTTCACTGTAGGGATGGTATTGGCAAGGTGATGAGCAGTGCCTGGTTTCCTCCAGACATGACGCTTGGCATTCAGGCCAAAGAGTTCAATCTTTGTTTCATCAGACCAGAGAATTTTATTTCTCATGGTCTGAGAGTCCTACAGGTGCTTTATTGCAAACTCCAGGCGGGCTGTCATGTGCTTTTTACTGAGGAGTGGCTTCCGTCTGGCCTCTCTACCAAACAGGCCTTATTTGTGGAGTGCTGCAGAGATGGTTGTCCTTCTGGAAGGTTCTCCTCTCTTCATAGAACAACGCTGGAGCTCTGTCAGAGTGACCATCGGTCACCTCCCTGACTAAGGCCCTTCTCCCCCGATCGCCCAGTCTGGCTGGGCGGCCAACTCTAGGAAGAGTCCTGGTGGGTCCAAACTTCTTCCATTTCCGGATGATGGAGGCCACTGTGCTCATTGGGACTTTCAATGCGGCAGAAATCTTTCTGTACCCATCGCCAGATCTGTGCCTCGATACGATTCTGTCTCAGAGGTCTACAGATAATTCCTTGGACTTCATAGCTTGGTTTATGCTCTGATATGCACTGTCAGCTGTGCTGCCTTATATAGACAGGTGTGTGTCTTTCTCAATCATGTCCAATAAACTAAATTTCAGCACAGGTGGACTCCAATCAAGTTGATCAGTGGAAACAGGATGCACCTGAGCTAAATTTTGAGTGTTGTGGCAAAGGCTGTGAATACTTATGTACATGTTATGTTTTCGTTCTTTATTTTTAACAGATTTGTAAAAATTTGCAAACAACTGTTTTCACTGTCATTATGGGTTGTTGTGTGTAGAATGTTGTGGACAATAATGAATTAAATCCATTTTGGAATAAGGCTGTAACATAACAAAATGTGGAAAAAGTGAAGCGCTGTGAATACTTTCCGGATGCACTGTACCAATGCAATCTGCACCACAATTCGTTACTAATCCACAAAGCCTAACGGCACTAGTGCAAAGACTGAAAGGGACCCATATGTAGCTTTAATGTAGCTTTGCTGTCAAGAAAATCACTGGATCCATACATTGTTTGGACTTAAGGCATAATCCTTGCCATTGATAAAATTATGGTGAATGTGCCTGACTGGAAATCCACACGTACAGGGCTTCGGCACACATGCTTTTCCCTTCTCTGGTTTTCCTTTAATTTGCAAATCTTGTAATCTAAGCCTAGAGCTGACTGAACCAACTTCTAAACCAGCAGCGCTGTAGCGGCCAAGGCTTCAATCTGTTTTTCATTTAAGTGTCAGGACGGCATCCTTTTTGGTGGTTAACAAACGCTGTTATTTCAAAATGATTATATGCTAAAAATTGTGTGAGGACCTTAGTAAGTTTATGAACAGGCACGATGGAAAGTACTGCGCCGCACCCGGAAGCCTTTTTCCTTCTCGTCTTTGACCGAAGTGTTACGTACCCAGCACTTCTGTAAGGGGAGGATTCGGGCTGTGCCATTCAGCCAGAGGTCAGGGTTTCTGCTTTTCAACACGGCGCATGTTTTTAGCATTAGTGTCGTGCGACGCCTGAACTAGTCGCCACACCGTCAAAGCGCTGCCCGCTCGGTGTCAGCGGGGACATCGGAAAAGCAGAAGCAACGGCGTCACAAAGGGAGAGGCGGGGGCCAATCCCTGGAAAACATCAAGAGGTCGGCCTCCACCAAGGCCCGGCTGGAGACAGACTTCCTTATTTCATTTCGCAACAAGGATATATTGAGTTAGATTCTGTGTTGCTCTGGAAGAGGAGCACAAGTAAACGTGTGGAGCGGGTGGGGGGGGAGGCACAGACTTCGTATGGATAGACGAGTACAAGATGCCTTGTGGTCTGTCACTTTTTAAATTCACTTTCTTTCACTTAAAGACATGACATCCCCAGTCCCAGCTATGAGAATCCCGAGGACCCACACATCTGTTAAATCTCCTTCCTGTCTGCCAGGGGGGGGTTCAGGTGCCGCTTGCATGCAAACCGTCGCACCAGCGGAACGCCATGAATCATAGTCAGTAAGCCCACATGAGAAGGGTTTCTAACAAGAAGTTGGGTGTCCTTTGATGCCCCGTATTATTAACAGAAAATTACTTTCAGATGTAGGATTTGTACACGTAGGACATTGCAAAGAGAGAAGCACCCCCACCAGCGCTGGTTAAAGACCAAACATCGTGACAACGGTCGTTGATTCCAACAACACATTGAGTTTGCTTTGGTTGCTTTGCTTCTGGTTTCCTAGCAGTCTGTGTCGTCTAAAGATAATCCAGGCACACGTCACTTTGTTAGGTCACCCATACAGTTCTTAAATGCCATCCATCACATTGTAGGGTAGTCATGGTTACACACACAACTGATCCAAGAAGCTAAATCTAAAGCTGCACTAATAAGTACTTTTAGATGAACAATGGTTCAAATGATGTTGTCCAACAGTGAACTGTCGACTTTGAAGTCTCAGCTCTTCAGGGATTCTGTAACATTGGAGCATTTAGCAGCAAGATATTCTTCTCAAGGGTTTGTGGGAAACAAAATAGTTTCAATCGGACTTCCATTCCTCAAGTGGACATAAAGAGCTTCCTCTGTCTGCCAGATGTGCAGATGGATAATTCTTTGTCAACACATTCACCATATGTTATGAAGTGACAACATGCCGGTGCCGTTTCACAGCTTCTTTTATGAAGGACAATGATGTCAAAATAAAATTCTTGTTTTTCTCATTGCTCCTGCCGTTTCCCAAACGTCAGAAGCAGCAGATCACATCAGCTGGAATAATCAATATTAACCTGAGAAACTTGATAATAGTCCAATTCTACTTTACTTTACACTAAATATGTTTGTGAGGCACATACTTGGAGACCCATTACTGTTCCAGTATGTCCACGGTACTAATACTTCTTCTCTGTAGCTGGTCATGTGACATCCATCCGAGCGCCACAAGAGGGAGGCGTGGCTACCGCTCAGCTAGCTCACCGCGGTGGTGCTACGAGCTTCACCCTTACATCTGGACACACTAACCTCACACATCTTCTTTCAACTTGACTTAGAACTCATGTGTTCGGACTAAGACAATGTTCTTGATCAAAAACATCAATATTTATATTGTAGGGATGAATATTGCGGTTTTCCAAAAATATCCCAAAAAGATTTTTGGAAAATAATCATCAATGAGGATACAAATAAAAAGGAAAAGCTGGAATAGTTTGGCATGTTCAGAAAATTGTGTCACGTTGTGTATCCTCTAAAACCAGGAAAAAATATGGCTCAGATATAGTAGTAGTTCTCAAATGTGGGTACGGTTATGTGAGGACACTCCACAGGGTAAGTTGTTTTTAATTATTTAACACCTGTCAATCAAGAAGAGCGTGATCACAGCAGTTGCCTCGCTGCCAACAATTCAATTAATTTTAGCCAAAAATCACAAATTAAAAAATGGCCTCAGAGGGCTTTACAGTCTGTACATATGCAACATCCTCTGTCCCAAAAAGTAAATGCTCATATAACAGCATGCTAATCTGGCTGCAATGTTTAAACCCTCGGAGATGTGTTTGGTGAAGGTGGTGGTATCAGCTTTATTATGATGCAGGAACTCACCCAGAAGACCCCGTGCTCTTGCAAACGCCCAGTAGAGGCCTTTTGTCAGAAAAGGTGTCTGTGATCATAGGACCTAAAGAGGAAGAGAAGGCATAGGAAAAGGGATGAGTAACGGAATAATCTGCACACAACAAAGAGGGACATTCTGTGAATGAACATGTGAGGCATCTCGTGGTGCCCACCCTCATTCAACAGGCAGCCTATTCCCACAACAGGAAACAGATTACATTACTACTGTTGACCCATAATTCAATAATGGTCACAAAACTGTTTGGATTTTACTTGTTTTTTCCAAAATCAGTCCATACTTTGCAAGTTAGCTAATTATTCTCCTTAGCCGCCAAAAGGTCGGATCAGTTTTCCGAACCTCCACTACACAGAATCTCCTGAATGTTGCAAAAGGGAGCAGGATTTCCTTTTCGTGTCATTTTATTGTTTTCTGGGGGGTGAGAGGTTCGGGGGAGTTTACAGCATGGCAAAAACTAGGCAGACAGTGGAATGATCCCGTGTTTTCCATGATTGTCTCATTCTTGAGGACGGATGGAGGATCGGGGACGGAGGGGAACGGGGCGGTTGGATTGAAGATGTTCCCATTTGGAGGACTGTAATTTGAGGCGGGACAGTAATTAGTTCCTGTGGTATGGCGTGAGAGACGGCGTGCTCTCCCTACCAGCCTCCAACACTCCCGATAGGGCAGTTCTTTCTTTTTGTCATCACACAATGTCACAAATGTGAGCTGTAACATAAATATAACTCAGAAGAAACCTTCTTGGGAAAAATACATTTTATATATAAAAATTACTTTGATTTAACAACCACTGTAATGGAGAGTATTTCAAGCCAGTACTGCTGGCCTTCATACAGATGTTTGCATGTTTGCTTTCATGGTAACAGAAGGTATAGGTGCACAACAATGCAGCCCTTGCTCGTTACACTGCATAGAAAAGAAACCATCCACAGAATGAAGAGATAAACAAACTGACCCACACAGAATAGTCAACCCAGTCTCACAGCAAAACAAGTACCGTATTTTCCGCACTCCAAGGCGCACTTAAAAGCCTTTCATTTTCTCAAAAAACGACAGTGCGCCTTACAATCCGGAGCGCCTTATATATGGATCAATTGGTTAATCGGTTGATCCATACTGGTTGTACACGGCGCTCAAGGCGCTTTGCCAAACAGGCCAAAGCTCGGTCTACGTCGGCGAGATGCTGAGCGGCGCTCAAGCGCGTGAGATATGGAGCTGCTTTCAGGGCGCGTCGGAGAAACAAAGCTGTCGTTCCTGCCGAGCACTTCATGAGATTAAAGAGCGAGAGACGGTGCCCTTTTCTTTACAGTAGCTGAACCATCTTAACGGTGCGCCCTAAATATGAAAAATGTTCTAAAATAGGTAATTCATTGAAGGTGCGCCTTATAATCCGGTGCGCTTTATAGTGCGGAAAATACGGTAATAGAAAGCATCAGCATTTCGATGGCATTTCTAGCGAGAAGTATGCGTTATGTTTTTATAATCTTCTATCAGAGAATATAGAAGACCTTCCGTTTATTAGTTTCTAGTAACGTAGTTGCAAGCCAATGTGCGGGAAATAAAACGTAGTATTGTCATATATATATATATATATATATATATATATATATATATACACACACACATTTATATTCACATTTGCTCAATGCTCTTTTGTTATCAATCAAGGGAACGGTGTAGCCTAATTTTCCAAGACAACGGATGATCACAGGTTGTAAACTGCAGAGGATGTGGTGACATGCCTTTACTTCCTTTGGAATTGTATTCTAGGAAAAGAGAACCTTGCCTTATTATAATCAACACCTATTTTCGGGTCCCTCTAAGTCCGCCCACCCATGGCTCGCATCGCAGACAATTGGCCTTTTAATGGCTGACCACAGTGCGACACTGTATGCGCCCTGGCAGATTGCGATCACTGTCCTTCCCTCCGGTAGCACAATTCATATTTATTTTCTGCTGAGAGAATTGCTCCCCTCATGTGTTGGGGCTATCTGCTGCTTCTTATTACTGTGGTTTGCTTTCATCCTCTTCCAGCGCTCTTCGAATGCCGCCATTGTGTGTTGTTGAAATCTGCCAAAAGACCGGAACATGGAGAGAGAACAAAAAGGCGATTTTCCTCCCGAGAAAATAAATAAATTAAAAAGGGAACAAACCAGAGAGGCTATACACCAGCATCCTCAGCACTGACTGACACCTGCAGAAACGAAACGCTAATTTCATGTCTGGAGAGCATCTATTGGGGTGAACCAGAAAACCATTTGCACCATAACTTTGATCACAGCACTGGTATTGATGGGGTCTGAAAACAGTGACTTCTGTTTTCCATCACTGGAACTATTTCACTATTTGTGAAATAGTAAATCAAAATCAGTAGTAAATCAGTAATAGGATATTAAAAAGTGAAAATACGATTAAGATAAGCAGTTGTAGAAGCAGAAGATTTATATTACTTCCCAAAATTCGGTGTGCTTTGTTTCTTTAAAAAAATAGGCTGAAAACACTTTGAATGTGTTTTCTTTACAAAAGGAAAAAATCATTTATGGATGTTTAAATAGACATTTTTTGCTCTTTCAAATTAAATAAACAGGCATGAAAACACAATCACAGAGATGTTTCATATGGGTAATGTTTGTTATCAAAGCTCTAAAAACTGGGCTCTACCAAAAATAAAAAATGGATATACAGGTAGCTGCTTCCCTTTGTGTGCGCCGAGAGAGCAAAAAGAAAGACAGGCAGGAATTCTCATTAGTACACATATTACACACACATAATAAAAACATTTTTTCAATGTTTATCTATGTCAGCGCTTTCGATGGTTGATGTAGGGAAGAAAAGAGAATTCCAACCAATATAAGAACTCCGGCTGCAGTTAGTTGGACCAATGCTTGTATTGAAATAGGTCACTAAACTTAATAAACCAATCAGAATGAGAAATTTCATTTCCCCCACCCAAACAAGTGCAACAAAAGGAAATGGAAGATGCGAGAAAACACCCAACACACCTCTACCTTCCTGATACACGTAGCGTTTACACAGGTGCTACCTTTGTGTGTGTTTAGTCAGTCCATAGAATTGTATATTAGCTCTGCTACTTAGCTACAATTCGCTGTGTACTGTGTAGCCATGTACATTAATCAGCGCTAGCTATGCGCCAATAATCCTTGGGTCCCTCTAGACTCGATATAAAAATGCAATCTATTTTACAATATTAGTTTTAAAATACCTTATGGAAAACAGGGGTTTATTTAGGTTAGCGGAATACAAGAAACCATTTTAGTTCATCCTTACAGATAACTTGAAGCCCCAGCTGCCACTCAACTGCATTTCTTGAAAGCCATTTAATTTCCTACTTTTCCAGGATGACTGCTGTTCATGCAACATGTTTCCTAGCAACATTAAATTATTGATTATACAGTGGATGGGCGATGTTTCAAAACAGTTCACTATATGTGTGAATAATAATTGAAATAACAAATATTAAAGTAGCATCCGCAACACATACCTGATATTTAAAAAAAATTAAATGGATTGAGAGGTGCGCAGACCAGTGAGCGTGAGGTGAGGCTCAGTGAGAGTTTACAGCAGCAACAAAGGGCCGACTTCAGAGGCTTTCCTAGCTTTCCTAACAGGCCAGATCTGCTCAGAGACGGACTTCAGATGAGGCAGCCTGGCCCCTCTTTCATTTGAATACCATCCAAAACAGCAGCAGGATGTGCTGTACAAAATTGCATTTAAAAATTGAACCTTAACTGACAAAATCAGGTTATCCAAAGTCTGCAGTGTTGGCCCTCTGAACATATTTTTCAGATCACAGCTGAACTACCCTGAATAAATAAAAGTAGTTTTTTTTTCCTTTCATAAAATTGATCCTGAAAAAGTCTGAGGGCATGTGTCTAAAAGTACATATTGGTGCGAGTGCCATATCCCATCTGCATTTCTGGTTTAGAAAGATACATAGTGTTTAAAAATAAAGATACGGGAGCAATTATGAGTGGCTGTTCATATAATGAGACAAGGGGAAAACAGCGGAGTTGCAAAACAGGCGTTGCGGTGTGGCCCTTTATAGATTGGTTTATGGAAAAGGTAAGCAAACAATGTGATAGGTTTTAGCGGTGCTGGTAGGCAGACTGGGGGTTTCCCCGTGTCCAGTCTCTACTGAATAGACACCAAAAATCTATTTCAACTGACAAGGCTCTTATTATGATTTCCCCCAAAAAATGAATTTCAACCAGTGGAAATACCACAACAGAGAAAACCCTGCCTTGGTGGTGCTGCATCTTTAGCCTCATGGCGGTACACTGAAACAACGTGACCAGTTTAAAGCAATACCCAGACACACAGAGTTGCTTCATATTCATGGCACAGAAGGTACTCACTGATATGAGGAGCAGGCAGAATGCGAGCAGCTCGCACGGGACCATGGCGGACGGAGAACAGCTCTTGGGCTTCACCGGCCAACTGAAAGAAATGATCAGACCTTACAGCTTATATTCAAGGCTTGTATACATGTGGGCGAATAACACACTGTATGGTTGTTAGCAACCATACAGTGTGTTTCTTGTAAGGAAATCAGGTTTAAATTAATTATGGATATTATAAACAAGCAAACAACAATTAATGCCAAATGTATTAACCTTTTATTGTGCAACCATTTTCAATGTAAACATTACACAATAATTACACAATGTTTGGATCAATTCACAGAACCCCGGATTTTCAACCACATTGTAGGGTCGCATGTCTTTACAGCTAAACTTGGCAATTGTTACTGTGATGTTGAGTTTGGTGCTGGCGAGGCCTGAGGTGTCTGCAGAGCTGGAGTTACCTTCTGCTGCTGAGGGGAGTTTACGTTCTACAATAGAAACTTGCTCATCACCATCAGTGTGGTGTGTGCTTTATATCCGTGCGGCCCTTTTGCTCTATGTTACTGCCCTGACCGCCCTTGTGTATCCACGGTTAGTTGCCGTTGTTACCATTAGCTGTCGGCTCAGCCGTGGCAGCCGTTGACAGCCGTAGGGAGGCGATCAGAACATCTAATTCTGTTACTGTACTTTTCCACCCACGCTACGGTGTGGGCAGCACTGTCGCCTCACAGCAAGAAGGTCTTGGGTTCAAACCCCTTCAGCGACTTTCTGGTTAGCATGTTCTCTCCGTGCCTGTGGGTGTTCTCTCCTGGCCCTCTGAGCTGTACATTTAAACCTATTTACATTTATCCAATTATCTAGGTCTAATAAAATACACATGAAACATACACAGACGCAAAGACATGAAAAACATATTAGCAGGTCTGGTTTGGACAGGTGTTTGTTTCACTGAGCTGAAACACTGATGACATTTGGGGACGAACACTAAAGGTTTCCATATTAAAGAGGATTTTGAAGTGTACTGTGTGCCGGCTCTTTATTACGGTGTAAAGGACGTAGATGGACGTGTGGTTGTGTCCGGTTTAAGCTTCATGTGTTCGTATGGGACAGCGGCATAATAGGTCACTGGCCTGAGAGGCGCGCCTAGCGTGTGTAATCACACATTGTTCTGAGCGCAGAATGCCCCACTTTTATTATTCTTTTATGCCTTAAATTATAGCAAAACCTGCATTATCACTTTACTAGTGCTTTAATCTGGTTGTTTGAAGTCTTTAAACCCATCAGAGGGGATGATCGCTCTTTTGTGCAATTAGTGGCTTTTTCAAAGTGGCGGATTTGTAGCTGCGTTTTTATTCAAAGTGCTTCATGCCCAGCAGTGGTAGATTAACACCGGAGACACAACCAGGTTATACAAGCACTGATAGCAGGAATACGAGGAGGTTGGCAGGAGGGCAGGATTCCAGCACAAGCAAATGGACCTGCAGCGGGGGCAATAATGGTATTTGCTGGATTAAAATGAGAAGAGGGGAGGGCCGGAGGTTAATGCGCCGGGTTATTGTGCATTACCCCGCCGCTCATCCCCGCCTTACATGACTCTGTGCGACATCCGCTGCCATCAACAACATTCCCACCATTACATTAGCGGCCCATCGTATGCAATATGCCAAATTGCTTTTTCAAAGTTGTTTTCCCAGAGCACCGTTATTCATTATATACATTTCATTTGTGGCTTGTAGTTTTTTTTGTGGAATCACAGTGTCTGCTCTTCTCTTTTAATCTCTCAAATGTAATACCATAAGCTGTGAACGGATATCTGGGGCATATTCACAAGTGAGCCCGCTTACTAACAGTGCTGGACATATTGGAGGTTTGAGGGGGGGGAGCAGGTGCTTCAGGGATTGGACAGTTACAGGTGCTTCCATGACGCGGAGCACAAACACGGTGAGAGCAAACTGAAAGCAACTGAACTTTCTTTTTTGTGAAACCAAGTAATAACAAGATGTGCAGTATACATCTGGTCTATCTAGATATATTACATTTATCTAATGACTCTCATTTGAATAAATGATTGTAGAATTGAAAATCAACTTGGAAAAGTTTTTTTTTTTTGTCCTTTCCAAACTCCAGACTGCGATCCTGCCCGGTTCCATTCATGCTGCTTCTACTGCACCACAGCCTCTGAAGCACAGCTGAATGGATCCTTCCACGTTGGTAGCAAGTATCCAGTATTTACCGTCCTGAGTATTCTGTTAACCCCACATGTTCTGAGTTATTCACACTGCACGTGCGTCTAACAGAAGATGTCAAGTTTAGGAGAGCGCAAGGTTGTTTCTATTTACCACCCTCGACATCACACCATTTCTACAACAATTTCTACTACCATTGTACCCAAGACAAAACACCCCCCACCGCAAAAAAACATAGAACCTAGAAGGGCCGCTTAGAATTGTGTTATTTTATTGTGAATTACAATACTTTCCCCCATTGTTGACAAGTTAACAATGTATGTGATATAATTTTATAAGTTTGATGGCAAACAGTTAGCCGAAGCGTATTCATGTTCATGTTAAACATTCCAGTTCATCAGCTGAACGGACATGATTATAGACCCTGTCCCTTTTTCAAACTGCACTCTGGAATTTTAAAACATTCAAGTAACTTTCAGTTCAAAGGTCTGAAGGAAACCATCAAGATTTTGTTTGGGAGGGGGCAGAAAATGCACTTTCACTGAATGGTCATATGTTCAAATCGCAGCGAGTCCAGGACCAGCTCATGGACTTTTTTAGTAATACAGCTGCAGCTCTTCAGCACATCCACTGACACTTGTCCTCTGAGCAGGTCCTTTCCTCTCGACACGCAGGCAGGTAGACGACTGGTCCACCAGTCTGCCTCTTATCGGGCTGCGGTGGACGACACCTCTCCAGTAGAAGGCAACATAATCTACATCTCCTAAACAGCTCTGTCAGCATCAGCACAAGCGTTCCGCAGTCCCAATCTCACAAGTGTGTGAAAGTCTGTGTGCACGCGTGCTTGTTCGTACTCTGCCGGGCCATTATGGAGGGTGTCGGCTTAGCAACTGTCACAAACACTTCACAGCCACTCGAGAGCCAGAGGCCGAGGCACCTCCAGTGCTTACTTAAAACCCTGTGAAAAAACAGGACCCAGAAACATCACGTAAACTTGAAAAAAACGGAAAGAAAAACACTGGGGAAGGACAGCGTGTGATGACGAGCCGTGTGAATTGGGATTTGTGTTCCAGTGACAGCGAAAGGCAGAGGAGCCACTGGGCTGAAACAACTGGAAGTCTGTGAGCGCTGCTGCAGGAAAGCTGCTAGCAGCTCTCATCACAGGGGCCAACGTGTGTGTTCACGGGTAAAGTCAGAGTGTGTCCTCTTACCCGCGGCTGTTTACAAAAGGACCTGATTAAGGACCTTGGTGTGTTTGGATCTCACAGGATGAATGTGAAGTTTGCATGTTTCAGTGACAGCAAGTACATGAAAGGCGATACTCGGTGAGCGAAAAGCTTCAAAGGGCATTTGTGAAGAGCCGGCAATCTTGTAATGATTTTCCAGGATGGGCTAAGTGAGATTTCTTGACCCTTCTGCTCGGGAATAGAGAATTGTATTCCAACATGCCGCTTGTGACCAGAGAACACTTATGTGTAGCAGTTTACCCCATGTATGCATTTGATACATGTTTTATTCAATCAAAATATGAGTCAATGTCTAAGGTTCAAATCTGAGCTGTAAATAACAGGTCGTATTAACCAGTGACAGATATTATCAAAAGGCCTCCACCTAGTGGGCATGTAGCATATTACATAAGGAGTCTGCCGACAGCACGGGCTTCATCGGCCTGCAGAGAGGAGGTCAGAGACCTGATGTCTTTAGGCCTGACGTCTTTTTCATTAGGACAAGGAGGAGGTGCAGTAGAAGGCCATATATACTATACACACACACACAGGCTTAAATTGTTTTAAACTATATAACCACTAATGAATGACAAGATAGGACCCATTCTACACAAAACATAATACAAATCAAACTGGGATAACAGGATGGAGTGGGAATTCTTTCTGGAAAATATTCCGTTTCATGACGCTTGCAACCCCCAGTCCGCGTGAAGGAGGATGCGTAATACGGATGGCCAAGGAAGTTTAGAATGTGTGGGAACATGGATAAAACCTTTCAATTACGACAGATAATACTGTTAGAAACTGTTTCTGTAATAGATTAACTCTCTCACACCCACCAAAACTGCACACCAGAATAAATTATAAGATATAAATGTGTATATTTTTAAATTATTTTATGCACTGTTAAATGTTTATGATTTATGTACATTTTTTACATGTCATTTTCTTTTTATACATACAAAGTAAAGTCAATATCAAACCGGGCATCTGTACATTCCAATATGATCCAAGCCAATAGCCCAGCAACAATAGAGGGAAATACAAGATAATCCTAAATACTCTGTTCTTATTCTTACGGTCTTGTAGTGTCTGAGGTTGTAAGATAAGATATTCCTTTATTAGTCCCACAATAGGGGAATTCAAAAGATCGCGGCAGCAAAGTGGACAGTGCACACAGGATACATGGTAAAAAAACAAACAGAGGAGCAGTATAATGATAATAAGAAAAAAATGACAAGAATACAAATTTAAATTAAAAAGAAGTGCAAAGGCCTAAATCTAAATATACAAAGAACTAAATAACATATGTACACATACTACAGTGGTTATTGCACATTTGTTTTAGTGTTCTTTGGTGTCGTTTTGAGAGATTTAATGATTGTGGTTTTTGATGTTGTTTGGCGAATTTTAATTTGTAATGATTATAGTTTGTTCTACATCCACTGAATTGAAATGGCTTGGAATTAAACATATCTCTGATATTAAGACATATTTACTAGTGGAATTTGTGTGTATAGAGGCCGAGAAACCCTGTAGGCCAATAGTTGTGAATGTGTGTGTGAGTGTATATTCGTTGAGTTCATGCACTCATTTAATGTTGATAAGTGTAGCCACCTAGTACACCTGCTGCTACTGAACTGATCCACACTCATTTTGGTTAAAAAGAGGCATTCTGATTATTCTGGGTGAGGTCATGGTCATCGTTTGTCTTTTCCATTCACACATGCTGACAACTCTATATTTAATATATATAATATATTTGCTGTCCATCTGTATATTCGTCGTCCACTTTGGTTCTGTGACAAACCGTTATTCACAAACTAGTGAAGTTCAGCAAGATGTTGGGACCTGTTAAGGTCGGTTACAGCTCTTCAGCCCTGAGCAGAAGGCAAGCAACTCGTACCAAATCCTGTCTATAACATGATCAACATTGCCACCTAGTGGACAAGGGCTGCCATGCAATACGTCGGTGGCCATCAAACCGCGCGAGTTGGGCGACTTATCACAAATACAAGGAATAACTGCTAATGAAAGGCGGAGCAATAAAAATATGTATAGAATGCAGCACATGCTGCTGTTTTTCTATGCAAAGGATATAGCTGCCACTTTAAATCAACATTAATGTTGTTCAATAAAAGAATAAAGTTCTACTCACAAATTAATTATGTCAAAAGTAATTTGGTTGTTAAAAGGTCATATTAGAAATGTTTGCATACAAGTCTGCTTGTGATTTAGTTTTTATGTAAATAAAGCTAAATTATCCCAAAATTTCAATTTTAATCCCATGGAAAGTTTCCAATTTTTAATATTCCCAGAATTTCGCAACCCTGTGCTTAACTAAGAACATATTTAGTTTAAACATAAGGTGTTTATGAATCTGAAATATTTATTAAACCTGTATGTTAATGCTCTGGGGAATAACTTTTGGTCAGAGTGATAAAAGTCACTACACACCGATACAACTAACGTAACTATCTCCTGACCCGACAGTTTTTAGCTAACTATAGATAAATACTATCGTGTAATGTTTACAGATGATGTAACGGCGTTAAAGTAGGCGTTCGCTCGTTACATTTTGAGCCAAATACAATTCAATTATGAAAGTAAAAATCGTAAAACCAGAGACTGTAAAAGGACGCTAGCACTGCGCTGCTGTAGGCATGACCCGGACAGACTACCATCGTCATTGTAAAAAATTACCATTGATGCTGACAACATGTCCGGGAATCCAATTCTGGCCTTTAACAATAAGATATCCCGCCTCAACACCTCAAAATAGTGCAATTAAAGCTTTTTATTCGTCGCCCTTCCATTGCCCAACCGTCGCCCAAGTGAGTCTTACTACAATCATCAAAGTCACTTTCTATCATCAAAGTAACTTGCCTGCAGTAGTTAGACATGTGTGTATATATATATATATATTTTAGGGGTGTAACAATTCATCCACTGAATCAATTAATATTCCTGCAATCCATCCTGAATCGATCTGTGCTCCGCAAATCGGCATTCCGGACGACATATACAGATTACAAATCGATTGAAATGGTACATAAATCGATTTGTATCGATACTTTGAAACTGCACATTGGATCTAAGCACAAAAACTGTATGGATGTGTGTTTGTTTGTTTGTTTGTTTGTTTTTTTAGCACTTTAGACACGTTAAACGTTACTGGATTCAGTCTGCCTGTCTGTGACGTCATCAGTACGCAGCGGCAGCCGCGCGAAACTCTGAACAACAACAAAACACAGCGTGGAGGAGACGACTGCGAGCAAGACATTTACAAACCAACTTATCGATCCAGCGTGTGGAAACATTTTGGCTTTTGCAAACACGGAGGTGTTCTAAATAAGTCGGTCGCTGTTTGTAGAATATGTAGAAGACAAATAAAAACCACGGAAACACGACGAATCTTTCCAGCCATCTACTAAGGCGCCGTGGGATTAAACAACGCCGACAGTCAGGACCTCTAGCAGCGTTACCGCTGCAGCAGCAGCAGGTAACTCCAGCTCTGCAGACACCTCAGGCCGCCAGCACCAAACTCAACATCACAGTAACAATTGCCAAAACAAAAGTTTATCTGTAAAGACATGCGACCCTACAATGTGGTTGAAAATCCGGGGTTCTGTGAATTGATCCAAACATTGTGTAATTATTGTGTAATGTTTACATTGAAAATGGTTGCACAATAAAAGGTTAATACATTTGGCATTAATTGTTGTTTGCTTGTTTATAATATCCATAATTAATTTAAACCTGATTTCCTTACAAGAAACAACAGGGAGCTCAGAAACTTTGCCTGCACTGTCCAGTAAAGTTACTGAATCTATTTCAAGTCACTGAATCAAATCGTTCTAAATTAACCCGGATCGTCCATGAATCGAATCGGCAACCATGAATCGCGATTCGAATCGTTGTTAAAATGAATCGTTAGCACCCCTAATATATATATATATATATATTCATGAGATTTGACACGTAGATTTGTTGACATGTAGGAATTGAAATGAACGTTTCGCGGGCAATCGACAGAAAAAAAACATAAACTGCTGCAAATATTAGCTTTAGCTGTCCTAGTCAGGAGACAGTCTGTTGTGTTGGGCAGGGGACACCACGAATTTGACTAGTTTGAACTTTGACCCTCATGAAGCACATGACGGCGACGTTATCCAAGCACACGCTCTATTGTAGGGACTGGGTATTCACAGGACGAGTAACAAAGTTTGCTCATTGTTTCATCATCATTTTTTTTAAACTGACATATCTAGTTGTGACATAGTTTTAGATGGAAGCATAATGTAAACAACTTGTTTGTTTCAGAAAGCAAGATCTGTGGAACCTCTTGAGTTAGCTAACCTTGAGACACTGGGTCAGTAACCATGGTAACGTCTCGTACTCGCTTACATAACCACACATGCGGTTTTATTTCCTCATTATTCAGCGCATTCATTTGAGAATCCTTACTGGAAGGCAGAATATAAAACCTTGTTATAGATTTCTTACTAATTTCATTATGTAGGAAGGTTCTTGTGAATTCTGGGGGACGTGTGCGGTGGCCTCTTACTCACAGGACAATGAGTGAGTAGGAGGGTTATAATTCACAGCAATCTGGTCCAGTTATAATTCTCCCTACCTTGGTAGGTTTAAACCAGACTACATTACCCATATGGCCTGGGGGGCATGAGGAGAGCATGATGATTTGAGTGTGATTGAGAGTTGTCCAGAGGGAATCCAGAGTGTTCAATAAATCCAGGATTTGATCTAGCAAAAGCCTGGCCTCTTTTTGTTCCTGAGACTTCTATAATATTACGTTATTATAATATATAATAATATATATAGTGTGTTATCTGTGCACACAGTGGGTGTGGGAACAGTGGGAAAAGTTCTTTTAAACCGGCTGTGACTAGTATGAAACGTGTTACGTGAGCTAAAGTCCAATGCACATCACCACTTTATCCCCCATACAGGTAATGTAAAGCTAAATGATAAATAAATCAACTGCTGAATAAAACTTTATTCTTTCGACTTAATGACACTTGCCCTGCTCTGTTTTTTTCCTCAGTTGACATTCATCAACAACTCTAGATCCCCCAGATTGAAGTGTAGGCTGTGCCTTTTATTGACATGTTGCCATGGCAAATCGTGGACTTCCAGCTCCACTAAGGATGGTAGTTTTCTTTCTTTGCGCAAAAGCTTAACTCGGAGTGAACTAACTCTGAGTTGAGGGAACAGACAGTGGACCTCAGAGCTTCCCATTTCAGGGTCAGACTCGGGGTCTCTGGACACTGGACAGAAGAGCTGTGGCATATCTGTTCTTTGGAGCTAGCCAGCGTTGATTATGACCCAAATGTGTTTCATGGTAAATCGGAAGTCATCGGTGTAATGAACAGTTATGGGACAAAAGCAGGTTGCATAAAACGGATGAGGTTGCAGCTCTACAGGCGGGTGACTCACAGATACGCTCCAGATCTGCATTCCGTCAGTGTAGCCGATCATGAGGCACAGGGGAGGCTCAGTAGTGCCGCTGTGCATCTCCATGAACTCCGGATTGCGGGAAGTGTCTGTTCAAACACAGATGGACACATTCAGAAAAAAAACATTTTCTACAGATTTGGACACTGAGAAAGATTTGAATTAAAAAAAAGTTTCTTTACTATCACAACACTTTTATTCTTTCATTCATCAAAAGTCTTGTTGAAGATCCCCATCCAGGAAAAATGCTTTTCTTGACTAAACAAATTCCAGCTGTACAACACACTTACCGTTGATGTCAGCTCTCTCAAATCGAACCCAAATTATCTTCTCTTTCTCATCAGTGGGCGGAGCACCGGTATACGCCTGTAGATTGACAGGAGAGGCAGAGAGGGGGATAGGAATACATTAAAAAACTCACCCAATATCAGTAACCAGGTTTAGTTTACCAGACTAAAGTAGGTTTGTAGGAGAATTAGAGCAAGTAGACAAGCTACACAGATGTCTTTGTCCACATTGTTTGGGCTTAAAGCACCACAGAGCATTCTGTTTACTTCGTATAAATTTAGTCCTTGAGTTGGGTATACATTGTTAGAGCGATTTCAGTATTTTCACATTTTTCCAGCAGGATTTGAGATAGTCACCTGATGTGAAACAAGCTTGAGAGAAACAATCCTTCACAACGTACAGATTTGATTTCTAACATTTTTATACAACTATAACAGTAACGTGGTGCCTCTTTGTCATAATTCTGTTTCAGCTGTTCAGCCTCAAGACTGCTGCTGCTGTGTCCTCGATGCGCACTACGTACTGATGTTTTAAAGTAGATACTTCTACAGCGCTTCCCCTAGGTCTACAGCTTAGGGGGAGTGGGGGGGGGGTACCATAATGCTAGCGGAAACACTGCTATTTACAAATTGGTGTGGAGCAGATAGTGTCAAAGAAATCAATGTACTTTTCCATATTTACTACCTTTGTAGTAAATATTATTATACCCTCACTTTTATATTGTGAACATGACAGCATACTAATTGAAATCAGACGGTTATTTGGGATCCAAAGTGAAACAGCTGCAAGCATGAGAGAAAATATGACAGCTACCTGGGGGACCACATCCTGCAGGAAGGTCACCACGCTTTCCATGTACGACTGCTCCCTGAAAAGGCAAAAACCTCACGTCATATTCATGCATATACAAACAGCATCATTTCTAACAAAATAATGAAAAATTATGTCCTTACGTAGCAGCTTGTGCTCGCACCAGAACCCCTCCAGCACACCGACTAGGTCTGCGTGGAGAGTCCGATGCCATTTTGTCTCCTTTCTTTTCTTATCCTGAAAATGTACAAAGAGACATTTCAACGCGACAGCGGCATACAAATAAGAAAATAGTATCCCTCGGTTTAATACAAATTAAACCTTGACGTGCATGTGGAGTGAAAATGAAGTAAGAGTTGTTTTCTCTTGTGCTGTTATAGTGTATGCAAACATGTAGTTGAGAATACAAAGACGAGCCCCTCCAGTTACGGAGGACAGTGAGGAGAAGATGCATGTTGTTGTGGCCTTTGCGCCTGGGCATCATATTAAAGTGATGGGGCCACGTGAGCAGCACTTTGAGGCAACCACAAACTGGGCATCAGCTGATTTGGGGATTCCTTTCAACCTCTTTTTTTCCTTCTTTTCTAAAGACCAGATGTGTTCTTGAGGGGTAAATGGTTGCTCCTTAGGAGGATAAGGAGACACCCGAAGGGCGCCAACATTAGCCAACGACGTGGCGACTGATGAGTCAATCGGACTGAAAACAACTCAATTAAACAAATCAATTTACATATACCTACCTACATATACCTACCTTAAATTCTATAAGAATTGATCTGCCAAATCATCCAACCTTCATATGTTGAAGCACTGAAGCAATTTGTTAACTCTCATCTGTTTCAGTGGCGTATTCTTCAAATAAATAGATTACTAGTTCACTAACGGTGAAGGTATTGTCCCCGAAGACGTCACTGTCACACCGGTCCCACTTATGGAACTGTGTCAACAACAGGGTAGAGCAGGCTGAGGTGAGCGCTGTCTCCATTCCTTTATTAAAAGGATCAGCTCCTCTGACAAACCTCAATGGCAAGCTTGCCCATCGCAACCTCGGTTACCGCGAACATCTTTCCTGCTAGCTTGCAACGTGAGCAACGACAGGGACTATACGGGAAACTCTTGTAACAGCTGTCCGCTCCATACATACAACCACTGGCTAACGTTGGACTCGTATAGGGAGACACGCAGGGACTCTGCAGCTAACTTAGCTAGCATTAGCATTACCGTTAGCTGATTAAACTCACGCGTGGAGATAAGACAATACAGTTAAACCCTCGAAGCAGGAGCTGTATTCATCATGTATCAGTCGGACATCATGTTCGAGCGGGTATAGTTACAAACCGAGGAGCATAACGTTGACCGTGTCCTTACTTGTGGACTCGTGTGTTGGTCGGAGGAGCTCTTTACATCATCGTCAAAACACAAACAGTCTGGATTTGCGGAACACTGTCGGGTTTTGGAAAGCCAATCAGAACAAAGAAACGTTTTCGTGCAACCAATCATGAGATAGAAAGGGCGGGCCTTAACCAACGTCATATTTTATATACAATTTTCTTGGCAAAATTAAATAGATCGGAATTGTAAAAACTATGAAGAAATAGCCCATAACTGTTTCTTGAATTTCAGTTCACACTAATATTCTGGACAGTAAATCCTTCAAATAAAGGAACGTTATATCGACTCGTTCAACATTTTGTTGTAGCCTATGAATGTCATGGAGAACACTGCACAAACTAATTTAAATGTTGCATTAATGCTTTTAAATGAAAAAGTCATATGTGTTGTGGCAGGTACACATAGCATCCTTTCTCAGTGTGGTGGGGGTGCAACAACACCTAAAACAGTTGACTTTTCTAGAAAATGAAGTTTTAATAAATAGAGAAACTAAACAGGGCAAGTTTTGTTGACAAGGGACCTTTAATGAATCAGTCGACTCATTTAAGACTATATTAGTAATCTTTGTGTTACCCGGTGATATTCTACGCACAAGAGCCAGAATCCACTTGAGCCATAGAATACTATGATGACAACTGTTTATTGAATTAACTACACAAATAAATGAAATCCACAAGTGAGTCTCAATAAAAAAAGATTAGGTACAGTTCATTTAACATATAAAGCAAACAAAACGAAGAAGAAAATGGACCGTGTGAAACTAAGCTGTACCATCCGGGAGGTCATTTTGACCCAGTTGAAGCTTGTGCCCATGAGTCAGGGTGGTCAGCCAGGGATCTGCAGCATGAGCTACCCAGGAGTCTGTAGCTGGGAGAAAAAATCCGACAGACAGTTTCCAGCCCCCCTGCCTCAAAAAGTTTTTGGAGGGGAGACTTGTAGTCGCAAAGAATGTTTCAATGGAAAGAGTGCGTCGCCACAGCCACAGCATTTCACAAAACATTCGATTGTACTGAACAAATTGGATTGAAGTTTATCCCATAATTTAGGAGGAATTGTTATTTTTAAGCATGAAAACATGAACGTAAAAATCACACAAATATCAAAATGGCCGACTTCTGGCACGGTCTCAAGATAGTTTTTGTTTTCAGTGTCATATGTGTTACATATGGCTGCCAAGCTACACAAATGTATGTCAAACGTAATGCTGGGGCTGCTTGAATTAATATTTGTAGAGGGTGCTATCGAGGTAAATTGCCATTTTGAAGCATTAAAATCATATCAGGTAACTACATCTTTGACTTTAAATGTGTTTAGTTTAGTTTAGTTACAATTCAAGCTTAATTAGCATCTTTGTTGTTTACTGCAAAGAAATGGTTGCCTTCTGTCCCTCTGACAGTTTCCCGACTTCAGCCAGATTAGCATATTTGTATGAATGTTGCCGAAAGAATGAAGTTAGCTGTTAGCTGGCGTTAGCTGCACAAACCAGGCTAAAGTTAGCTAGTGTGTATGTAAAAAGAGGAGTTCAAGTGCATTTATTTGGGAAATTGTTGAAATTGAAATTTGAGTTTTTTATCATTCATAAAGTATAAACGAGTTATTTAAATATATATATTTAGTATTAATTATTATAGAGCACCATTACAGTTTTCCTCTCGCGCACCCCCAGGTGTGCCAGCACCACACTTTGGGAATCCCTGGAACAGTATAATATTTCGTGAAATAGAAAAGTCCCCTTGTCCAGTCTCATATGACCATCAATATTGGTTCACAGGAGACTTCTGCCTGCCCCTTATCCAGCTCAGATTTTCCAATCTCGCAACGGGTGTTCCTTGTGCTGCAGTCATATGTGATTGGCTGCACATTCAAACGCAGCTTCTTCTTCGTCCCCGTAAATACCTTTCTGCTCCATGGCATTCCATGACTCTCCCCTGGCTTTGTGTCCCTTTATTACCATACATTCAACAATCCCACATTTGACCTAAAGCATCTTCATGTAGAGATAAGAAAGCATGTATAATATTGATCTAATAGGTCATATACTCCAATCACAGTGCAGCTCAAATCTTCACAGTTCATCACATTTTAACCATTTTGTTTAGCTCAGTTTATCTAGTCCAAAATCAAAATATTTGCCTTGCAGGGCAGTCCTACATCCTTTGCTCAAAATCCCCAGAAGCCTATAAAAAAGAATATGTGGAAGAAATCCATTAAGGAAGGCTTTAGCGTCCTTCCTCTAGACCATACATTTATATTGTGGCAGGATGTTATGTGTACAGTGATTAAATTACTTAAATAACTATAAATTGTGTTTAAACATATTGCAGTTAATAATCTAACATATAAATGGAATAACTAATATCTAATAACACACAGACTTCAAATCTAACATTAATCATTATAACACATATTATAATTTCCACCGCTAGGTGTGCTCTTCTGGATAATTCCCTAACATGAGAAGGCCTTTGCATGTAGAGGGGCCTCAAGAGGTTTCAACACCTAGCCATGAAGTGTCCCAGCTGCCCGCAGTACATGCACCTCAGGCGACGCTATAGCGCTCCTCAGTCTAGCGACGAGTGCGGCCTATAGTTGCATGGGCTCCTCACCCCCACCGGGGGGGGCCTGGTCTGGCGGTTCCACTCGGGGTTAGGGCGTAGGTCCGGCGGACACAGTGGAGAGTGTGGCCCCTGGGGACTGGGACGTCTTCTCTTGGCCTGCCGGCTCTCCATCTCTCGCATAAAGCCGGTTATCAATCTTGACAACTGGAACCACTAAGGCCTCAAGGTCTGTGGGAAAGTCAAGAGGTGCTAATTGATCCCTAATCCCTTCAGAGACTCAGAAGGCGCCTGCCCGAGATGAAGTTCCGCTGGCTATCTGCTGCTAGGGTGCGGAAGCAAATGGCATAATCAGACACACGGCTGCTGAGAGGAAAAAACTCTCTACCAGGTAGAGCGGAACGCACAGCGCTGTCCTCTGCTGAGTCCATCAGTGGTCAGATTGTACTGTCACGGTTCATGGCTGGGTTAGGACTCAAGAGCAGACGCTCACTCTGGAGACGGGATGAAGTTAAAAAAAATATGGTTCTTTACTGGTCACCAAAAGTAATAAAATAAACCAAACAAAAATCAACAAAAGACAAACGCAAAGGATTGGCAGAGATGACACGCACATGTACATTTGAGTTCAATTCGTGCTAAAAGGCTGAATTTTATGAAATAGCTTTTCATCTAGTCTACTAGTTGTGTCTGGTGAAGCTCAATGAAGCCACTGACCAATATAAATGCTCATCTTCTTGTACACACATACACACAGGAAACCATTCAACATGAATTGTTGTGATGTAATTACTTTTCATTTGATGTGAAAGATTATTCAAAGTCAATGAGGCGGAAAGTGTTTCGCACTCTATCACAGGAACTGGCATTGTTTACTTCCCTCCAACACATCATTTGCTCTATCTCGCAGTCACAATGATTCTCTCTGTCTTACTGTCATACACGTTTCACAGCAGTATATCACAGCATGCCTCATTTAACTAGACAGTAGTGTGCGCATGCGTCCCGTATGTTTCTTGTGCTGAATTGTGTTTTTTGTCTATTTTCTTTGATTTGGATGTCAGTTGGTGTTTGGATACATCTGTTGCAAGATAAATCTCCCTCGTGTTGAGCTGTTTAACAAACATCATTGTAGTGTATGTTGTTTTAAAACCTATTTACACTTGTATTGACATGAAGATATAACCCAAAGCGTGTTAACTAAAGCATACAGATTTTAAAAAAAAAAGGCATTTTAACACTACAGTTTTTCAAATTCATTTTTGTATTCATGTCTTTGTATTTTTCTTTTGCAATAGACAGAAAACTTGTACCGTTAATTTTGAGAAATTGTTTTCAACGTTTTGAAATTATTTAAATTTGTATTTGAATACTATTCACGAATATTCTGGTTTTGGTTATTACACCAAAACCGTTCTGTATTTTGTTATCTTCGGCGGTCTTCTCACTGGTGGTGTCTCATATAAATATAATGACAATATCAGACAGGAATTTTAACAACAATCAAACATTGATCACATTTCTGAGGTCAGAACTGTCATTTGAATCGAATCAAACCAAAACCCACACTGGTCCACAATTTGGCAAAATGAAAATGTGACCGTTAACTTTCAAAGTCAAAGAGCCCGACCTCAGTCCCTTCCACAGCAAAGCAGAAAGTAGACCTGTGTCTACCTGGACATACATATAAAGAGAACCGATTACAGCGGTGAAAAAGGGACACTTTTTTTCTCTGAATGTGTCTCTATGAGGCATGAAGCAAAATGGTTTGACTGACAAGTATAACATATGTATATGTGTATATATATATATATATATATATACACACACACATCCAGGGACAACAAAATGAACTGGCTTTAAAGCCATGGTTCTTGAAAGCTCCACCCACCCAAATCATCAGTGTCTTTGTTTGAAACATGTGGTTAATGAATGAAGTGAATTGCTCTAAAAACCTGGTTAGGTTCAGGAACACCTTAAAGTAAGTTGGCAAAGTCACATCTGTAATGCTGGATGTCAAGTTTAACATGATCAAGTAAACCTCACGGGAAAGTCTTGTGTTTGTGTCCGTCCACGCTGACGTCCTCATAGCACAAACCTTGTTGCTCCTCATGTCTTTGTACTATCCAACTTCATTTTCTTCTTTCTTCCTATATTATTTGCTACGACCACCGAAGGTTGACGCCCGGAAATCAGTGTAAATCTGCGGGGGTGATTTAAATGGAAGAAGTAGTTTGATGTTTCATTTAAGTTAAGTATTACTACATGTTGAAATAATACAATATAATAATATAATAATAAAACTGACAGTCTTCAAAACAGAAAAA